GACATACCCTGTGCTCGTTTGCCCTACTACCCTAACCCTTAGTAAACAGAATGTCTTTGAAATCATCATTATTGTAAGCCAGAATAGTGTTTTAAGTATGCTTTCCATAAATGGTCTCTTTTAGATCTAATTCACATTAGGACTTTATGACTGAGAAAAACAGGAAACCATGATGATACTGTTAATTCATTCCTGGGTTCCATGCTTGTACACTAAGAGCTGTGCTAGACTTCCCATTCATGACCGCTGCTTCTCAGAGCAACTCTATAAAATAAGTACTAAGTCTGTAAGTGGAAGAGAAAGGTTAGCTAAAATCAGTGTGGTGTGCAAGGTAAGTAATCCTAGCTACTCAGGAGTCTTGAGAGTTGAGGATCATGGCTCAAAGCTAGCTCAGGCAGGAAAGCCTGAAAGTTAATTATCACTAATTAACCACCAAAAATAAATAAATGAATAAAAACAGCCAAAAATGGAGCTGTGGCTCAAGTGGTAGATTTCCATCCTTGAGCAAAAACTTAAGGGATAGTGCCCAGGCCCTGTGTTCGAGCACCAGTACACACACACACACACACACACAAGCTTCTGAATGCAGTTTCTTGGTTCTTCATAGCAGTGCTTAAAAACCTCACAGTTGGTGGTGGTATAAGTATCATTGCTTTCTTTCTGATGATATCAGAGCCAAAACAGTTGAAAAACAAACATAAATTAAAAGTCCTGGTAATTCTAGGTTAGGCCCCATGCTATCTGTTTTCTGGTCACAGGCACACACAACTGCCTGTTAGAACAGTTTTAACATGTCTAAGTTGGTTTATATGTAAATGTGAGATTCGTATTACTGACTATTACACTTTTCTTAGCTTGCAGATGTGGATTTGCTATGTTAGGATTTGATTTCAACTAAGTATTTTAGGGCTTTTTGGTTTTGTTTTGTTTTGTTTTGTTTTTGTCAGTCATGGGGCGTGAACTCTGGGCCTGGGTGCTGTCCCTCAGCTCTTCAGCTCAAGGCTCTACCACTTTTTCTGCTTATGTGGTGCTGAGGAATCAAACCCAGGGTCTCTTGCATGCAAGGCAAGCACTCTACCACTGAGCCACCTTCCCAGCCCACTATGTTAGAATTTGAACAAGGCTGCATAGCTGTTAAGTTATCCAGAAAAGTAGACAATTAATTTATAAAGACTTCTTGAAGAGGAAAGGGCACTAGAAAACGATGCCTATTTGGGGGGAGGGGGGAGGGGAGAAAGGAAGGTCTTATTTGAGCTCAGAGAAGAGGTGGGAGAATGAAGAGCCACGTTGGAAAACAATTCAGTAGTTCCTCAAAATGTTAACTATAAGAATTGCCATGTGACCCAGCCCTTTTTAATGTCCAAAAGGAAAATAATTCCACCCAGCATTTTGTATGGAATGTTCCTACCAGATTTATTTATTCATTTGAGTTGTTAAATGTTCACCATTGACAGCTGCTCAAATATAACATGGTGTGATCCTTACAGCTGAGTATTTGGCCACAAAGAGAAGATAATAAAAGGATGAATGCTATCAAAGTACCTTATAGAAAAACGTCACAGTGTAACCATTCTGTACAACAACTGAAATTGTCTAAAAAAAAAAAGTAATGGAGTATGCATGCATGTTAACATTAACAAATCTTGAAAACATTTTGCTGGAAGAAGGAGAAGGTGTGTGACTATATTTATATGACATGCCAGCATAGTAATGCATCCATGGAAAACATAGCTTAGTGATTCCCAAAGGAGAGGAGAGGGTGTAACTGCTAATTGATATAGGATATCTTTCTGGGAGTAAAAGTATTTTAAAGTTGAATAATGGCTATTAATAGTCTCTCAATTCTGAGGCATTTGATTAAAATCATTGAATTAATTTGCTGTGAAAGAATGAATCTAGTGCTATATAAATTTTGTCTTAATAGAAAAACTGATATTGAAAATAACAAATAAAAAACTTTGTTGAAGAAAAAAACAAGAGGGAGAATATTAAGACCTTATCTACTGTATTTTCTGAAGAAGAAATTATATTTAGCCCATTCTTATAAAGCTATTAAGAGTGACACTGTAAATTCCTGAAATATGAAATTCAGTTATGCTAAAAGGTCAACAAAGAAAAATGTGGATAGCTTCGTTTTTATTGAAGTTTATATTTTTATCTAAGGATATGTGTACCCCATTGCTGGAAATTATTCTGTACAATGATATCTCTGGGAAGCAAAGAAACTGAGTAGCTATATAAGATATAGTGGCTGAGTTTCTGTGTGTCATTTTTAATGCTAAAACTAAAATTTCTTGACCAAATTGTGAAAGTGCTAGAGATTCATTAGACAAGGTAGATTAACAAATACGCTTCTAACTAATTAAGAGAAGAGATAGATGGATAGAAGATTGAGAAGTATCATATACTGCAATGTATTATTTTTGATTCTCATGAAGTAATTTTTTTCTTATATTTTGGTGCCATATACAATATCCTGAATTATTTCTTTGACACAGAAATTTTGTATGAAGTATCTTTTAGCACTATTAGAATTTGTCTGAATTGTTCTCTTTTAGAACGTTATGCCTTTTATGATTGTTTTTTAATTTCTGTTGCTTTATTTAAGTAACCAGATGTTGTTTCTAATTAGTGCTTTGATTTCATCCTCAATTTTCCCCATGCCTAAGTCCTTTCTGATGACTCTTTTTCTTGGTGGCTAAGGAATGAATTGTATACATGTCCTGACTGTTTTTCTCACTACAGTTATACTATTTTCTTTAAGTAAATATAGTCCATTAAATCAGGTTAGGCTTATTGGAATATATTTGGATATGATTTATCCTGGCAACTTTCACATATATGGAACTTGGTCCCAGTTATAAAAACCACATCATGAAAATACCTGCCATGAACTCTATTTTCCCCAATTCAGATGGGAATCTATCAATCAAATCATAAAGCAGTGTCGATTCCCAGCTGTTGAAAAGTTTGTTCAGTGAAAAATTGAGTCCAGTTTGGGGTGTTGATAAAATAGTACCTGATTTCCTGTACCTCGCCTGCTGTCCTGACTTTGGACAACTTGCTCAAAGTTGTCTTTTTTTTCTATTTCTTTTTCTCATCTGTAAAATAGAGGTAATTCTCTCAGTTTCATAGTCGTATGTGAGGTAAAATACATAACAAAATGTAATTCAACCTTAATGAAGCTACTCCAATGCCTTGCTCGTACTTGATGCTTGATTTCGATGCATTCTATATTTGTGTGATACTTAAAAATCACTTGGAAGGCTTAGCATCCTCACAACTCAGGATACTGAGATCTGGAGATCAGGATTCAAAGCCAGCCTAGGCAGGAAAGTTCATGAAGCTCTTATCTCCAATTAACTTCCAAAAAGCTAGAAATGGCGGTCTGGCTCAAGTAATATAGCACTAGCCTTGAGCACAAAAGCTCAGGACGGTGTTTAGGCCCGGAATTCAACCCCCCAAACCAGCATGTACACACAGATACACACAGACACACACACACTCACCACCTAGAAGACTAGGAGAGGCCTATGACATTGATACATCCATGTTTGAATATGCTTGAGAGGCTAGAAGAAAAAGTGGTCTAATGTTGAATGCCAGCTGTACCAGGCTTTGAGTTAGTCATCGTAGCTAGAGTTGTATTACATATATTATTGTTGTTTGACATATGTCACTTACTTATCACTAAAATGTTCAAGTTGAGCAAAACACATATCCTAGCAGTAAAATGTTTCAGCATTCCAATAAAATGGTCAAATATTTAGAACCCCTCAAATATGAAAGCACAACCGAACTTTTTATTTGTGATTTTGGGATATGGATATAACAAATTCTCTTACTTAGGTCTTAGCTACTTTAAAAAATATATATATATATATTTATTGTAAAAATGTTGTACAGAGGGGTTACAGTTACATGAGTAGGGTAATGAGTACATTTCATAGCGAGCATTGTTACCCTCCGTTGCTTTCCCCCTACCCTCAAGTCCCTCCGCACTTCCCCAACTCCTCCCGACGTCTTAGCTACTTAAGAATGCTTCTGTATAGTTCCATGGTTTATTTTAGATTATGTTAATGGTATTGAGGCTCACATTTATGAGCTGGTAAAATACTATGTTTACTTCAAGTGTATTTTAGTGAACACTTTTCTGGCTATTTATTATAATGTGGTCAATGATTTGACAACTAAGTAGTAATTTTCAAAATTTCTGATTACTTGAGGATCTTGTTCAGTAAAGTTTTAGAGACTGTTAACACTGCTTGTCTCAGGACCACGTGTTCAGTAGCAAGACTATAGAACCTAAGAAGTGTAGGCAGGAGCTAGGAATATAGAGAGCTGGTCTACCATTATAAACCAATTCCAGTTGCTGGCCCATGCTCTCTGATAGCCTTAATCAACTTCAAGTGGGCCCTGAGATAAATTAATTACCAATTTAGAAACATTCTACAGCAGTGATTGTGTTCTTCTATTTCCGGTATGATAGTGATCTAATAAACTCCCGTTCTTCCTTGTTATTTGTTTTCTATAGTTCTTTCTATTGTCTACTACCCTGCACACCACTTAGACCTCTTTCAGTTGTTAGTGATTGGAGGTAGAAAGTGGTATACATGAAGCATTGTCACCTCATTCTTTAGCGTTCTGTAGGTATGCTGTTGGCCCTTACCATATGTATGGTACAGAACAATGACTGAAACTTGCTCAAATTCCAGCAAGGTTGTTGTGACCCAGTAGAAGGAACCACATGCAGTTATTTCCTTTAACCCTGTGCTGATTTTTCCAACACTACCTTAAGCATTTATATATTTGTTAAATTTTCTCAAGCCTTCTATGGTGTGCATGGAGTGCAGATTGCCTTCCGCTCTGCCACCTGTAGTCTAGTTTGTTTTGCATGGAATTCAATTATGGAGACGTCACCTTAGGATGCATCAAATTAAATTCTCACTATGAAATCATTGTGGCTTGACATGTAACGCAGGATATCTTATTTGTTACAGAGCACAGAAATAGTCACCGTAAAGACAAGAGGAAAGCCAGAACAAGAAAATGGGGAGAAAGGAATGACCTGGCTGAGGATGTGGCCATACTAAACCACAGCCTAACATCGCAGGCGTTCTCGGCCTATGGTAACAGGACGGATGACGTGAGGAAAACGAGGTCCCACCGAAGAACCAAACGATTTTTATCCTACCCACGGTTTGTAGAAGTGATGGTGGTGGCGGACAACAAAATGGTTTCATACCATGGAGCCAACCTTCAGCACTATATTTTAACCTTGATGTCCATTGTAAGTATGTTCTGAAGATGATGATGCCTCAGCATGCCATTGGGGGATGGGTGGTCCCTATTCCAGGGCTGGCATTTCAACCATTTGGCCAAGTCACTGAAGAGAAGATAGGATTATTCACTGGTTACTTTTTTATAATGATGGTAGTGGTTATCAAGGTAGTGTGTATTTTTACTTAGAAGGCTCACAGACAAATCCTCCTAGCAACCATGCTAGTTTGGGTGATCATCTTCTCTCTTGGAGGTGTGAACACTGAGTCTCAGAAGAGTTAGGTCATTTTGCCATGGTTGGATACAGCTAGCTAGCAGGTGGCATGTGTAACCTAAATTTTGCCTGTCCACTTCCTCTTTGTCCAACTATGAACTTTGCACACCTTGGTGTAGCTATCCAGTAATACTATGTGGAGCTTTTTTTCCCTTTAATGCAATTGTCCAGTTCTAGTATCTTATTCAGTATGCTGATTAAGTACCTCTGGGGTGAATCTTAGGAATACCCATATGTGTTATTTTTCCCCTACTCCTGTGTTAAATTAAAAAACACAGCAAATTTGCGTGCTTAAAAAATCAAATAGAAACATAAACTATTGATAAATAATGAATGCCCTTTGCTATGCAGGTTTCCTAGCCTATTCCCAGAAGCAAATATTTGCTGCTTCTAACCAGTACTCTTTAGTAGAAAAATAATGCAAACCGTGTAAATAATGCAAACCGTGTTCCATTTAAGATTTTCTCATCAGCACAGTGTTTTAAAAAGTAATGAGACAGGTCAAGTTAATTTTAGTAATACATTTTATTTTACACCCGAACATCATTTAACAGTTATTTCTAAGGATTTTACTTTCTTCGTTCTGAGTCTTTGATATCTGGAACATGTTTGAATCTTCTGGCGTATCTCACTTTGGGCATGGAGTCAGTGGCCAGTATATTGGGCCGTATACCTCTGGATATTTCTTGTTTTGTTTTGTTTTTTGGGTCCGGTTGTAGGGCCTGAACTCTGGGCCTGGGCGCTGTCCCTCAGCTCTTCAGCTCAAGGCTAGTGCTCTACCACTTGAGCCACAGCGCCACTTCCGGCTTTTTTCTTTTTTGCTTATGTGGTGCTGAGGAATCGAACCCAGGGCCTCATGCATGCAAGGCAAGCACTCTACCACTGAGCCACATTCCCAGCCGGACCTCTGGGTATTTCTTAAGCAAAGGTGTTTGCATAGATAATTGGTCTTCCCTAATGGCCACCTGACCACATGGATCAGAAATACTTTCACTGAACATATCAATACTTTTTTCTTATAACTTGCTTAAAAATGTAACACCTTTTACATTGTGTTAGTTATTAGATTATTTAGCCATGATTTAAACCACACAGATGCATAGATCCTGCAATCCACAGAATTCTATAGGCAGAATTGATTCTAACATGCATAGACTCTATGAAGAACAGCTGGCCATTTTATTTAAGTAAATGTGAAACCTTTAGATCTTAGTATACCCCACAGAATTTTAGTCAAATTCCTATAGATGTGGAAAAATTACTTTCCCGCTTTTTTTAATAGAAAGGGAGAATTCTCATATATTATTTTATACACTGCATTAAAAAAATTAGATATTGTTCTGTTCCCCTCCACCCTTACTACTATGTCAAGCCTTTCCATGGAATGACCATAATTTACCTTATTTTAACAAATTTCCCAGATGCATGTGGAGAGGCACCATGCTTGGGAATGTTGCTGTGGGAGTCTCCTTTGCTTCTCATGGCTTATAGTGCTCCTTACCTTTCCCCTACTGTTGTGGGCCACTCCCCTATACTCTTGCAGCCCTTCCTCCCTTTCCTCTCCCCATGCACCTGCTCGGCTCCATGTGTGTCCAACTCCAGCTCACTGATATTCTGAGAGGGAAAACAACAATCTAACTGCATATCCAACCTTGTTGCTTCAGATTTTTCATAGGAATGTTGACTGCAAATGTAGGTTTTCAAATCAGATGGCCTAGATTGAAGTTCTTTTTTTGCTGCACCACTGTCTAGCCTGGGACAAGTTACTTAATTTCTCTGAGCCATATTGTCCTTCTTGTTGCACAGGAATTGTACTAGTGCCTTGCCTAGATCTTGATGTGGGTACCAGTTACAGATGCATATGTAGCTTTTCCAAAGGGTCTGTCCACAGTCAGCATTCAGCAAATGTTAGCTCTCACCATGAAACATTATAAAGCCGCACAAAAATCGGTCACACGGGTTGTTGAAGGTACAAATGGGTGATATGCAATCACAGCAATCTAGGATATCAAATGGAAGGAAAGGAGGTTGTGAGAAAATTAATATGCAGTGTTTTAGTATAGAGAATTATTAAGTCATGGGATAATATAATTTCAAAGGGAAAAAATAACTTGGAATTTAAAGTTGTTTGAATTCATTGTTTACCTAAAACTGCCATCTGTGAATTGCACAAGTTGGTAAATGTTCAATCAGAACTACAGAATGTGTATGTCCCATAAAATGTAAAGAGAGGGATCCCAATGTAGGAAGTGAATTGCTTGTTTACTTACACAGAGTTCACAATTAACTTTGAAAAATTTATCTCGGTTGCAGGTAGCCTCTATCTATAAAGACCCAAGTATTGGAAATTTAATTAATATTGTTATTGTGAACTTAGTTGTGATTCATAATGAACAGGTAATAAAGTTTTGTTTCTTTTCTCTTTCTCTTCTTCTGTCCGTATCCGAAATGGCATATATCAAATTGGCATTGGTAACATAGACTCACCATCCTCTCTCTCTTTCTCTTTCTCTCTCGCTCTCTCTCTCTTTCTCTCTCTGTCTCTCTCTCTTTTGTATTCAGGAAGGACCTTCTATATCTTTTAATGCCCAGACAACATTAAAAAACTTTTGCCAGTGGCAGCATTCGAAGAACTCCTCAGGTGGAATCCAGCATGATACTGCTGTCCTTGTTACGAGGTATATGGATTTCTTTCTGGTTCCTCAAATCTCTGGCCTCAGGTGAAGTTGGTAGGATGGGATCTTATGTTACTGGTAGCCAGCATCAGTCCAGTGCTGCTCAGCTTACACACTGTTAACATTTTGGATCAGATTAGTGTGTGTGCGTGTGTGTGTGTGTGTGTGTGTGTGTGTACATGCTAGTACTAGGGCTTGAACTCAGGGCCTAGGTGCTGTCCTTCAGCTTTTTCTCTCAAGGTTGGTGTTCTGTCATGTGAGCCACAATTCTACTTCCAGCTTTTTGGTGGTTAATTGGAAATAAATGGACTTCCTAGTAGCTTCGAACCTTGATCCTAAGATTTCAGCCTCATAAGTAGTTAGGAGTATAAGCATGAGACACTAGCAGCCAGCAGAAGGAGATAATTCTTTGTCCTGGAGACTGCTCTGAATATTTCAGTGTGTTTGGTCGCATCCCTGGCTTCTGCTTACTAATATATAGTACTCCCTCCTCTCAATGGTGACAGCCACTCATGTTTCCAAACACTGCCAAATGTCCCCCTAGGGCAGGTGAGTGGACATAGAGAAGCTCGCTGGCTGAGGACCTGTATTATGTAGGTGTCAGGTAAGGACTTGATGTATTATGCAAGCCTGAGAGCACAGACTCTTATCAAGCTGGGCAGCTGCTGCTCTTCTCAAGCTGGTTTTTATCACATAGGATCTGAGCCCAGCATTGCAAGCTTGTGGGATTTTGTTTTGCAAGAAGTCAGGTGCAGGGAATATTTTAGCTTGTGAAATCTCCCAAGTTTTAAATGAGAACTTCTATTTCAAAAACACATTAAAAAAATTCTCAAGGCACCAGACTCTCATTCACTGATGTCTCACACTTACATAGCCTAGCTACTGAGGAGGCTGAGTTCAAAAACAGCTAGGACAGGGGCTGGAAGTTGGCTCAGTGGTAGAGTACTTGCCTCACATGCATGAAGCCCTGGTTCGATTCCTCACCATCATATAAGCAGAAAAAACCCAGAAGTGGTGCTGTGGCTCAAGTGGTAGGGGGCTAGCCTTGAGCTGAAGAGCTGAAGGACAGTACCCAGGCCTAGAGTTCAGCCCCCACAACCAACAAAACAAACAAACAAACAAAAAAACCCAGCTAGGACAGAAAAGTTCATGAGACTTAAATCTCTAATAACCTGTGACCTCAAAAAAGCTGGAAGTGCAGCTGCTGCTCATATGGTAGAGCACCAGCCTTGAGTGAAAAAGCTAAGGCATAATACCCAGGCTCTTAATTCAAGCCCCATTACCAACACACACACACACACACTCTCTCTCTCTCTCTCTCTCTCTCAACAAAGAAGGATCTACCCTGATTAGTACCCTCACTGTGGGCCACCTCTGATCTGGATACAAACTCTTTGTCTTTTTATTGTTTTTCTTTTCCATATTGGGGATTGAACCCAGGGCCCTTGCTCATCTACTGCATTCACTCTACCACCAGCTACAATCCCCAGCTTACCACTTACTTCTCCATAAACTTTAAATGCAAAGTATTTAGTGCCTTAGAATGACTTACTTATTCCTGGGTAATTGGAGAAAGTCCTGGTGGGAGAAGTTTCTAGTTGCTCTGTGGCTACACAAAGCATTAGCAGCAAGCTTGTTAATACAACCTTTAACCTTTAACTCAGTGCTTCCTGAACTTTATTGGGCTGCCAAACCCAAGCTTTGTTAGTTGTCTTTTCAGGATATCCCTCCCTGAAAGGCATGCTGTTAGGAAGGCCTAGAAGACTTGGAAGTTGGGGTTGGAGGCACGGCTCAGTTGGTAGAGCACTAGCTAATGAGTGAAAGTGGCAGGTACTGAGTTGGAGTCTCAGTCAGATCTAAAAAGAAAAGAAAAGTATGTTCTTGCATTTAATGTTGTCAAAGCCTAAGTCTGCTTTGCTTTCAGACAGGACATCTGCAGAGCCCATGACAAATGTGATACTCTAGGTGAGTCCCGGCCTCATGTCTTCTTGTGACTAAAACGATTTATTACCATTTATTATTCCAAGCCACAATTGTTTTTCAAAGTAAATTCTTGTTTTGCTTTGCCTCTCACCCACCTGTTCTAATAGGCCTTGCTGAACTGGGAACCATTTGTGACCCCTACCGAAGCTGTTCCATTAGTGAAGACAGTGGGCTGAGCACAGCGTTTACAATCGCCCATGAGCTTGGCCACGTGTAAGTTCCCATTCAATAATTGCATGTAATTCACTGCCGCTGCATCACATTTTTGTTCCTTTGATCAGTGACTTTGAATTGATATTAGTGGTTATAAGATGCTTCCCAACTCACAATGGATTTTACAGGGTTGGAAGTTTTGAATCTGATGGGCAGAAATGACGTTGAATAAGGGCCATGCAACCCTCTGCAGCCAGAGCTGGTGTGTGTCTCTGGTTGAACTGCTCATGCAGTGTCTAATAATATTCTCGTTTCCTACTCAGAACAGAAGGAATGGGGCCTTTCCCTTCCTTCCTCTGAGGTGGGAGAGCTTTCCTAGCTCAACATCTTGGTCTAGGAGGGTCTTACAATATTGTCCTGGTACACAGATTTTCAGAAACCCAAGTCCTTCCTGATTTAAGTCATCTATGGCTGGACTTTGGACATTTAGAATATGGAAACAGTAATAGCCTTTGATTGAAAATGAGCAAGGATTCAGAGGAGTCATTTTCTAATAAGTCGCTAAGTGGCAATTATGAAATGGCTTTTCCATTTGTTCTGTAGAGACAGCAGTTAGAAGATGAGGCAAATTGGTGTACATTTATTAGAATTTCTGATTTTTGGACTGTTATTTTCTAAAATAATTAAAATATGCTATTTTTGAAATAGTATTCTTGACAGGTAGTATAACATAGCTTTATATCAATTTGTATAGCTGATGTTAACTTTATTCGGAGCCAGTAATTATCCGTTAAGCAAGATTTTTCATTTAAATAATTTTTGAAGGTCCCTTATAATTCTTACTAGGTACACAGCAAGTTACCTGTGTTCCCACTTGCCAACCCTACACCAAGTGTCTCCAATTCATAAATAATGGACATAATTTTTTTAAAGACCTATTGAGCCATATTTTAAAAGCATGCTCCTTTTCCAAAGGGAATATTGTCATCCCAGTGTTTAGAATGCAGAAGAGCCATGGCTTTTGGTGAGGCAGACCTGCCTAGTCGACTTCTTCTTGGACTTGGTGATTGCTGAGGCACCTTTATGAGATGCAGACTCCTCAAACAGTGCTCTAGTTCTTTATCACACCTGAGTAGCCGTGTGACCTTGATCATCTGATTTATCCTCTCAGTGTCTTAGATCTTCATCTACCAAATTTGGCTAATGAGACCATCATCGGTAGGAACTTGTTCCAAGGCCTACTGTGGTTAACAAAGTCTATAAATACCTTTATATAAAGAGGCATAATCTGCACCGAACCTGTGTTTGTCCTTGTATATACTTTAAATCTTCTCTACATTACTTATAATACTTGAAACAATGTACATGCTATGTAATAGTTGTTTTACATATATATAAAGAGTACATATTATGTATATTAAGGAATGTGTATATGTATATATAAGAATAATAATAAGAAAAAACTTTACATGTTTAAACACTTTTGTTTCCATGACATTACTGGGGTTTGAACTCATGCCTTGAGCTTCCCAGGCAAGGTACTCTATCACTTGAGCCACATCCTAGCCTTTTTGCTATAGTTGTTTATCACATAGGGCCTCTCATTATGCTTAGGCCAATCTGAACCATGATCATCCTATTTATGCTCCCCATGTAGCTAGAATGACAGGTCCAGATTTTATTGCTTTATATTGGGAATCTCATGAACTCTTAGCCCAAGCTGGCCTCAAACTTTGATCTTTCCAATCTCTGCCTCCCTCATAGCTAAGATTACAGCCATGAGCCATTGTCCAGTCATACACACTGCTTTGTTTTTGTTTTTCCATGAATATTTTCCTGTCTCTGGCTGGTAGAATCTGCAGATGTGTGACCTACAATTGCAATGAGCCAATTCTATTCATTGGGCCAAATAGATATGAAATGCAATAAAGCATGTAAAACATTAAACACTCTTCTTGGCTCATGCTGAAAAGTCTTGATTATTATTGTTGAGGAAGTGTTGAACAAATATTGTTATTTCACCCTTGTAATGATCAAACTGGCCTGACATATGAATGAAAAGCAATTTTCTACTTATGCATATGATGGAATTAACTAGATTTTTTTTTAACAAGTCATGGTGAGGCAAAACTAGCTCTTTGTACCACTGAGAAATGAGCTAGGGGTAGAATTCTCCACTTTCTTGGGTTAGTATGGCCTCTGCACTGACTGTGTCCAGGACAGTGGAGATCAGGACAGGGAATTTGTTAAGGAATAGACTCTTTAGGAATAAAAAATAAGTGAGTTCAACAGATCAATATTTTCCATCTGTACTGGCAAATTGTGAGGAGCCTACATTTTTTTTTTAAAGAAAACAAAACCAAACCCAAGATAAATTAGTAAAAGGGACTAATCAGTTCTTACCCCAGATCTTCCTTTGGTACACTCTCCCCTGTGTGATTCATGGGTTCCTGTATCCCACATCCATACAGAAAGGGATTCCTTTCTCCCTACGAGATTAATCCTATGCTTCAGGTTTGTGATTGGCATCTTCTCTCTTCCTGGGAGAGAAAAGATGACCTTTCTGAACTAGTCTCCCGATAGGGCTGAGAATGCCCTGTGGGTCATAGAGTCGATGTTTGGGGATTGAGGAAATACTAGTATTATTTTCCCACCTCCCCTGGGGAAGACAAGAATGGAAGGAATGTGTGAACTCCGCTGCCAAGTTCCCACCCAGGCCTGAGGGAATGTTGGCAGCCTTCTCCTGCCCCCTCTCATAGGCAGATCCTATCATAGTTCAAGAATCCTTTCATCTCTGACTTGTCAGGTGGCGGTGCCCATCAGCAGGCAGTTGTATGAAGCTTGAAACTCTTTGCCATCTCTTCGGAAGCCAACTGAGTCGGCTGACTTGGCATGTCTCTGGCTTCCCGCATCACCACTGTCTTTGGTGACTTATTGTGCATGTGCTGTGCATACTTTCTAATGATATGCCTACACAGGTGTGTCATTTGTCAACATGACCCGAAAGGGAGGTGCCAGGACCCATAGGGAGCCTTTTATTACAATGCTTTTGGCTTCAGTTTTTGACACTGACTGATTCTATATTCACAGCGAAATCACAACCTGCCAAATTCTTGACTGCATAACTAGCTTTGTAATAGATTATTAGGAATCCTTCTATCAGGCACTGGTTGCTGATGCCTATAATCCTAGTTACTCAGGAGGTGGAGATCTGAAGATCATGGTTTGACACTAGCCTGGGCAGGAAAGTCCATGAAATTCTTATCTCCAATTAACCACCAAAAAGCTGAAGTAGTTGTAGCTCAAGTGGTGGAGTGCCAGCCTTGAGTAGAAATAGCTAAGGGACATAGCTCAAGCCTCTCTGCCTTCCTTCCCTGCTCCTTCCCCACCCCCGCCCCCACACACACAAAGAAAGAAAAACAAAAGGAATTCCAGTTACTGCTACTATTCTAGAACCAACTATAGAGTATTCAGAGCCTCTAAAATTCCAAAAAGTGTACTTAAACCAAATGAATAACCAAGTACCTATTTTTTTTAAATCTACTAAATAGAGTCCTTAACATTAAATTGGGTGGCATTTCTGTTGTATTACATTCTTCTTCTTGAATTATCTTCAGTTCTATTCTGTGCACCCAGATTGAGGTTCTTGTCTACAGGGCAGTAGCCAGTCGAGGTTTTTTCTTTCAGATGCATTCTTGAAGCCCCCATTCTCATGTAATGTTTCCTTGGCATTTATGGACATTCTCATCATTGTCTCCTTGACTTTAGGTTTAACATGCCTCATGATGACAACAATAAATGTAAGGAAGAAGGTGTTAAGAGTCCCCAGCACGTCATGGCACCAACACTGAACTTCTACACCAACCCCTGGATGTGGTCCAAGTGCAGTCGGAAATATATCACTGAGTTCTTAGAGTAAGATTTGAACTTTGTTTTAGCACAGACTTCTAGTGTCTGGCCTACAGTGTAGTGCAATGCTTGTGGGAAACAGCCTTCCTTTCGAGTTGTTATTTTTGTTGACATTCCTTGGGCATAGGGGAAAAAATACTCCAATATCTGGGTCATTCACATCCTGGTCAGTGTTTGAAAGATTACAAACTGAACTGATAACAGAGTTTGAGGACTTGATGCTAGTGGGAAAATAATGATGAATTTTGGATAAAGCTTTGCAGCTTGTTCAGAATAGAGGGGCTATGAATGCAATGCTGTGAAGAAAACCATAAATACTTAGACACTTCTCAGTCATTTCTGCTTGGAAAGGGGTAGAGTAGTGATAGGATCCCAAAGGAAATTATCTGAGTGGATAGAACTTGCAGCAGACCCCATACGGCTGAACTGAAGATGGCTCCTTCTTTCCAGCTCTCTCTCTCTCTTTCCTTTTCCTCTCTATTTTTGTATAGCACTTCCTGCTAAGCTACTCTAAGATCTGATTACACTACACAATGTCTCCTCCAGCCCCTGTCACACATACTGCTCTGCTCACCCAGAACTATGGAAGGTGAAGCCATTCATTGTCCCAAGTCACTGAAACCACAGAGAAGAGGGAGTTTTAATAAGGAGGGTTCATCGAGTGTGGATTTTCCAGTTGGGATGTGTTGTAGAACAGCTAGAGAATGGGGGAGTTGCTGTCTTTCTTTCTATGCAGGTGGTGTGAGGTGTTTTCTTGCTGTGAGTCACTGATTTGCTCCTTTATTCATTGCTTCGGCAAACATTTACTGAATGCCTGTTGCCATGGGCCAGTGCTTGGATAAAAGAGATGTTATCTGGGCCCCTAAGAAGCTTACAGTCTATTGGGAAAGATGGTCAAATATAAACAGATAATTACCCACCCCTCCCAAATGGCAATGCTCTACTAGATCTATATTTCTTTCTGGCAATGTCGTATGCACAGCACATGGTTCTGTAGACGATGTGCCACATGTGCAGCCATGGCTGCTGGACTTCATCTCAGGGAAAGAGCAAAGCAAAGGTCGCGGAGAGACAGCCCTGGCTACCTTCAAGTCTGTGGGGTGGCCTCACACATATTGGGAGCCTTTGATTGTCTCTGTTCTTACCATCTGTGTGTTTCTCTTTGGCAGTACTGGGTATGGCGAGTGTTTGCTTAACGAACCTGAATCCAGACCCTACCCTTTGCCTCCCCAACTGCCAGGCCTCCTTTACAACGTGAATAAACAATGTGAATTGATTTTTGGACCAGGTTCTCAGGTGTGCCCCTATATGGTAAGTGTGTGGGGGAGGGGCTCCTTCTGCCTTGATCTAGTGATTCTACATTTCCTTGCATTCCACGTTTTCTATTGGATTTCCCTTCTCTTATAAACTACCCAAGGAACAGGTGAAAAGGATGTTGATTACTAATGGAGCAGTGCTTGGGATGCAAGGATACACACCACATTGCTCAATGTCTTGGAGTTTTGCTGGCTTCTCTCACTCCATGTTTATGACAGCTGGAAGGCGAGAGGTCATCAGGATTTATATTCATAAGTGAGATCCAGAAAGTCTGTAGTCACCAACCTTAGCTCTCTTCCCTCCCTATCTTCATTCCTGTACTTGATTTGCCCCAGTGACCTGAATTATAGGGACTCTGAGTAGGAAAAACCTGAGTAAGAAAAACCTGGCTTGTCATGTTTGTTTCCTGTGATTGCCAAAAGCTTCAGAACACTTCTGGGGGGTGCTTAGCTGCGTGGGTGAGTGGCGTGTGGATGCCATGCCCAGGTTGTTTGGCTATGATACAGTTATTGGATTGTGGCTGGAAAGAACTCTGCGGCACAGTGCCCCATTCTATGCTGTTAGAGCACCAATTATTTTGCAGAGATTTCATGGTATATTGACAAGGATAGTAATCTCATGCAAATAATTTTTTTAATTGATTAAGTTTATAATATGTATTTCTTAGCAAAATATTAAGCATCATTGAAATGTCCAACTAAAGAAAAGCTAAGAAAATTTTGATCTCCATTTAGTAGTAGCTAAAGTGACCTACAGCTGGGAATATGATTCTGGTATCATTTTAAGAACAGAATAAGTGATTTTATACTGTTTGTTCTCAGCTGTAATAAGAGAGGAAAATCTGCAGAAAAGATTAAATAGCTTGAGACTAATTGTTTTAAATTGACTTTTAGTACTTTTGCAATTTTTTTATAATGAGTATTTAATTATATCAATTATCTTTTTTTGGGGGGCGTCAGTCATGGGGGCCTGATCTGTGGGCCTGGGTGCTGTCCTTGGGCTCTTCAGCTCAAGGCTAGCGCCCTACCACTTGAGCCATGCACCACTTTCAGCTTTTTCTGCTTGTGTGGTGCTGAGGAATCGAACCCAGGACCTCATGCATGCAAGGCAAGGCAAGCACTCTACCACGGAGTCATCTTCCCAGCCCCTATATCGATTATATTTTAAAAGTATACTTTGAAAGAGCTAAAGTAGATAAATCTGAGCAATATACAGAAGAAAGCTGATTGCAGCATGGATGAGAATGGCACTGTTCATAGGAAACTTCAATGCTGGGGTAGTCTTGGTAGATTTGCATGCATTTCTCTAAGCATAAGGGAAGATAAGGAACTATTGGGACACGGACATTTCTAGGGAGAAGAGAATGAGGAAGGGACCCAGGATACACATACTGGGCCTTTAACTCACATGTAAAATTTACTTCTCTTGGTTGGGTACAAAGGTATCCATTATGTTAATTAAAAAAATTGTAGCCAGGCGCTGATGGCTCACATCTATAATCCCATCAACTGAGGAAGCTGAGATCTGAGGATCACAGTTGGAAACCAGCCCAAGCAGGGAAGACCTTGAGAGTCTTATCTCCAGTTAAGCCAGAAGTAGAGCTGTGGCTCAAGAGATTATTGTTATTATAAAGTATTATGTAGCACTAACTTGAGCAAAACAGCTTGGCACAGCACCTCGGTCCTGAAATAAAGCCAACAATACCAGCACCCCCCCCACACACATTTATAACTCAAACCAAAATGAAATTCAAATCACACCCTACCTGCATTACACCCTAGCTGAACATCTGAGCTCCTAGCACCTACTTCCAGTGTGATGTTGAACATGTTCCATCTTGGTTTCCTCAGCTGTCATATAGGAGGTATTACAGGGCCCTGTGTTACTGGACATGCCAGGATATGCAGCAGTTCGCCTTGTACAATCTCTGAATGTGCATGGGCAGGTGCCTTGGAGCTGCTCTTCATGTGCTCTGGGAATATCACATCATTTATCATACCATGTTCTTGCCTTGATGGTTCATCTTAATCACATTGTCTCCCGATATCTTTCACCTGAATCGAGCAGATGCAGTGTAGACGGCTGTGGTGCAATAATGTGGATGGAGCAAACAAAGGCTGCCGGACTCAGCATACACCCTGGGCTGACGGGACTGAGTGTGAGCCTGGAAAGGCAAGTCACGCCCTGCTCTGTTCTTCTGTTTGGGGGCAGGATATGCATGACCTGGCTTGATGACCAGATCTGATATTAACATAGGAAAAATAATGCAGTCACTTTTACAATGCAGGTTATTTTGAGGAGAAAGATTTGACTGACAATTAAAAATCCTGAAGCATAGGTTATGACAGAATTCTTTTTAACAGGGATGTACCTGTCATGTTACCTCCATTTTTTTTTAAAGACTTAAGACTCTCTTCTTAAGATTCTCCCTGATTTTAACATTTCTAAAATTTCATTGTACTTCTCAAGTTTGGGAATATTTAGTGTGTTTCTTTTTTGTCTCCTCTCTTTTTGCATGTGGCATTTGGCAAGCTATTATAAAATCAAAGGAGTGTCTAAGAACCAAGTAAATGCAGAATATAGTATATGTATTGCATTCATTACCAGCCTCTCACCAGCTATGTTATTCCCTTTAAAGAGCTGTGATGTCACCTGGGACATTTCTAAGTCCAGTTTCTCATGAGCTGGTGATAGTGGTTCCCACCGATCTGTTAATAACTAAACAAACTCTGTTGCTTGTGGGGCCCAATGATAACAGGGTCCCACATACCTAAGGGTATGATTAACTTAACCTCCTGCCCCCAGGGTGCACAGGAAACAGTGGCAATGTGCTGGTGATGTCATTATTCTCTGGCTCTCTCCCCTCAATTTCACTGATGAAACATTTTAGATATAAATCCTGAGTTTTTTAATTCATAGGGATAATGGCTTTTACTAATGATACAGTCCCTGGACTGTATATCCATATATATATATATATATATATATATATATATATATATATATATGGATATATATAGTAGAAATAGAATGTATCTTTCCCCTTCATGGTTCCAGCTCTTGCTTCTCAAGGGAGAGAGGGTTCCATGGCTGTCAGTCATTTATGGAAAAATAAATATATCTTTTTGGACAAAGAGTGAATCTTGTACCCTTTGTGGAACATTTAACTTAGCACACTGGTAACTAGAGGATAACAGGTTTGTGTGGGAAGATGCATTTCAGGTTTCCATGGCAGCCATTAAGAATTGAATATAAATGTTGGTCACTGTGGTGAATGCCTGTAATCCCAGATATCAGAAAGATTGAGATGAAAAGGATTATGGTTTGAAACCAGCCTAGGCGAAATGTTAGCAAAACCCCATCTACCAACAAGTGTGTGTGTCTCTGTGTGTGTGTATGTGTGTGTGTATGTATATATACATATATGTAAATATGTACATTTCTATCTATCTGTCTATCTGCATGCTCTTCTCTTCCCCTTCTCAACTTTACTCACTTTGAATGATTTGTTCTCACTTCCTTTCCTTCCACTTTACTTCATAGAAGTAATAACACCCAGAATGGCTCCTTAGAAAGGGGTCCTGAGAGGTGATAGACTCTTCTTCTCTCCCTGATGATACAGACAGAGGAATGCAAAATCAAAGTGAGCTACCTAGGATCCCTAAGGTCTTTTAAGATAGAGCTTTCCCTACTGTGTCTGGCTGACTTTCCCCTTTATGGTTCCAACCCTTTCTTCTGCAGGGACTGAGGGCTCCGTGCCTCTTAGTCAGTGCTCTGAGCCTCTTCACTGTCCTCTGGTCAAACAAGAGGAGTGAGTCCTAGTTTCTTCACTCACCACTTTGGCCACTTAGGAGCTCAAGGGTGTGGAAGTTCCTTGATGAAATTATAAAGAAGCTGACTTCGTAATTGACTTGAGAGGAGGATGGCTCATGCTTTCATCTTGTTGGCTGGACCTCAGCAGTTACAAGCACAGCTTTATCCAGTAACCTTCTACCAAAAGCCACAGAGACGTGGATAAAGGGACTGCTAGAGCTTTCATTGATTGGTTCAGAAAAGAAATGTAGCTCTTTGGACAAAGAGTGAATCTTGTACCCTTTGTGGAACATATAACTTAGCACATTGGTAACTAGAGGATAACAGGTTTGCGTGGGAAGATGCATTTCAGGTTTCCATGGCAGCCACTAAGAATTGAATATAAATGTTGGTCATTGTAGTGAATGCCTGTAATCCCACCAACCAGAGAGGCTGAGATGAGGATTATGGTTTGAGTCCAGCCTACGCAAAATGTTAGCAAAACTCCATCTACCAATTAGCCAGATGTGGTGGTATGCACCTGGGATTCCAGCTGAGTAGGATGTTTAAGTAGATAGATTGTGGTCCAAGGCCAAAAACACAAGAAAAATAAAATTTTGAAAATCTGAAACCTAGAACAAAAAGGGCTGGGCCATGGCTCACGTGATAGAGAGCTTCTTGCCTAGCAAGTATGAGGCCCCGAATTCAAGCTCTACTACACGCTCCCCTCCAAAAACAGAAATAAAATATGGCATTCATTCTCACACAAACAACAAGTGACTTTAGTTGAGAGTGGTGGCACACAGCTGTAATCCCAGCAATCTGGAGGCTGAGGCAGCAGGATTGCAAGTTTGAGACCAACCAGGTTACATAGCCAGACCCTGTCTCAAAAAAGCAAACCACAAGCTGGCGCTGGTGCTTCACACCTGTCATCCTAGCTACTTAGGAGGCTAAGATCTGAGAATCACCGTTCAGAGCCAGCCTAGACAGGAAACTCCATGAGACCCTTATCTCCAATTAACCACCAGAAAACTGGAAGTGGCGCTGTGGCTCAAGTGGTAGAACACTTGCCTTGAGCTAAATAGCTCGGGGACTGAGTCCAGGCCCAGAGTTCAAACCCCATGAGTGACCAAAAAAAAAAAGGAAATCACACACACACACACACACACACACACACACGATATGACCTCAGAATTCCTCTAGCCATGGAACCTAGATATTTTCTCCCAGTTGATGAGAGAAGAGGATAAACGTGACACCTGTTTGGCCACTTGATGAGCTGGCATGGGAGAGACATAACCAGTTCTGTTATTTAAGTCAAGTCTGCTGGATCTCCCCCAAATCCAGTTATTGTATTGTGGTTCTTAGTGTGATGCCTGTATACACCTGCATGCATCTCACGCTTATTACTTCTGGGAAACCCATGATAAGAAGAAACAGATTGCACTGAGTTAAAGTATCTTGAATGGTTTCCAAGCTCCCTGTGTTAGTGTAGTTCCTCAGCCAATCCTAAAACAAGAGATATGCTCACCTCCAGTTTGTACAAAGGAAGTAGAGAGAAGGAGCTTTGAGGGTGATGTCGTAGTAGTCAAGAGATGGGGGAACCTTAGGAGAGCTTACAGAAGGCCCTGTCTTGTGGACTTGGGTGCAGCCAGAGCAGACATGCTCCCAGCAGTTTTAGAAAAGCACCTATGTCAAGAAAAGGATAGGTGCATTCTTAATTGTGTTTTAGAAAAGTGGCCAAGTCTAACAGCTTTTGTGAAAAATCTTACAGGCGTGGGTGCATGTAAATGCTGTGAAGTGTGCAGTTTTTAGATGCCAAAAAGGGTGGTATGTTGGCCTAGAAACTCTTTTCATCCTTTTTTTGGTTGATTTAATAGAATTGACAGTCTGGATCTTTTTTTCCTCTCTGTTGTCTTTGCTATGTGAGACTCACCTCTCTCTCTCTCTCTCTCTCTCTCTCTCTCTCTTCCCCTCTTTTCCTTTCTCTGTCTTTCCCTTTCTCCTCTTTCTCCTCTTTCTGCCAGACTTCTGCAACAGTAATCTATCTCTCATGCTGACACAAAGTTATTTTAATGAATGACTCCACTAATATGTCTTCATTATCTCCATTCTCTTGTTAAGCCCATTAATGTTTTTATTCCTGCCTTGTTTCTGAAATTTGAAACTCTTTGGGTTTAATTCCTCTTAAAATAAAATTGACCTCCAAGTCCTGTTTCTGACCTCTTAAAAACATTCGCTTCTGTAAAATGTCAACTAAATGACTTTGGACACTTAAGAAGGTTGTCTTTATTTTGAGTGTTGCTTCAACAGCCTTCACATAATGGCTGTTCTCAGGTATAGTTAAGGGTTTGTCACATGTGTCTGGTAAAATAGGTGAAATTGGTACAAATTTTCCAAATGTTCTCATCTGCAGCCTGTGGAAACAGTGTGCCGTTTTACCCTTCTTAACCACTTTCTAGATATGGGGGGCTCAAACACTTCCCTTACTTACTGGGTTGTTTGCTCTTGTTTGTACATGCATGAATGGTGAGACCATAGGACTGAATTTGCGCACTGGCTTTTAATCACAAGTGTTCTTTTAGAAAGAGACTATGGATATGTTTGGGCCCAGTGCTGAATGGTGACATCTGATAAACCTATATCCTTGTCTCTTTCTGTGGTTCTTAACGGTGCTTAATGAAAGTAATGGTCACTCTAGAGTTGTATCTTGCATGGAAGTAAAGTATGTAAAGTAGAGAAATCAGTAGACACAAGTGTGAAGTATCAGCAGGGGACAAGTGTATTTGCAGGAAGTATCTTGTTATTAAAAAAAATCTGTGAATGGTTGTAAGACGCTTCTCTTCCCTTTACAGAATTTTAAAAAAAATTACCCTTGGTAGAGGAAGATTTGAAGGTGGATTTGTGCAGTTGGAAATTTTGTTAAGACCAAGTCCTGTTTATTGTAGTGTAAATAATTTGAGTCTCTGCCAGACACAGAAAACTAGTACAAGAGCTAGGCAGTGCACAGAGTTCTTATGGAAGGTACATGAATCATGAGAGACCAGGTTTCTGTTATCTGTGTGTATGTACATGCACATGAATATGTGTACATGTGTAAGTGTGCCTGTGTATATATGAGCATGTTGGTACTGGTCTTGAACTCAGGACCTGGGCACTGTCCCTTAGCATTTTCACTCAAGGTTAGCACTGTACCACTTAAGTCATAGCTCTACTTCCAGCTTTTTTGGTGGCTAATTGGAGTTAAGAGTCTCAAGGACTTTCCTGCCTGGGCTGGCTTCGAACTTCAATCCTCAAATCTCAGCCTCCTGAGTAGTGAATACAGATGTGAGCCTCTGCCACCTGGCTTCACAGAGTTTTTGCAAGAGATGCCATGGTCTACCTGTTAAAACTTTTGTCCTCCTGGATTGGCTTAGTGCCACTAAGCCACTAGCCACTGAACACCTGGATGTCATTGTGATTGAGATATGCATAAGTGTACATAAGTTCTGAAGAGCACATTTTTTTACCACAGTGATCCAGTCCCCTTGTATCTACTGTGGAAGTGTCTGAAATGTACGGTGGTTCTGAGCTTGTCATCTGCTACGTGCATTCACATTCATGCTTAGGATAAAGCCTAATTTACAAATTAGGCACCGTAAGAGACTAAAATAACTAAGAGTACAATGAAAAATTATAGCAATGTTCTGTGGTAAACATTTTTTAGAACTTATAAATAGCCTATATCCAGGGTATGTAATATTTTCTTTCCCTGGGGTACTAACTGTAATGAAAAACCCCTGAAAGTAAAGATGTGGCTCAAAGCAGACGGCTGTAGTCATATTTTTATATTAATTATATGTAGAAATAATAGTGTTTTAGATCTACTGGGGTAAACAAAATAGATGGGGTTTGAACTCAGGTCTTTATGTTTGCCAGGCAGGTGTTCTACCACATGAACCACACTTCTAACCCCCTTAAAGTTTTTTTTTTTTACCTTTTCTATTTTTGGTAGTACTAGGATTGAGTCCTAGAACAGACTTCATTCTTGCTAGGCAGGTTACTCTCTAGCTAGCCCAGGATTTTTAACTTTTAAAATGTGACTTCTAGAAATTCTTAAATATGTATGTGCCTCTTGTACGTTTCTGCTAGGTAAGGAGGCTCTAGGTGATGTCACTGCTCTCTTTTATTTGCATGTACGTATCATCTAGCAAATAAACATTGCAGAGACAGAGACTATGTGAAATGATTGGAGGCAGATGGCCGTGCCTCTCAGCCCCGCATTGCATGGGTACCAAGTTGTCCCAACTACCAACGCACACAGAATCTTTCAGCTTTAGCCAAATAGCCCAGGGGAAAGGCCCATCCTCAGACTCTGGAAGAGGAGAAGGAAGAGGAGAGCAAAGGCCAGGATAGCTAGAGAAAGTTTGAAGTTTGATTGGACTCTTTAAGTGACCATCCTCCATCATTTTCTTGGGAGGGCTAGCTCCCCCCCCCCCCAACCCTTTACCTGCCTCTTGTTTACGCCTTTGTCCTGGCCCACCTCTCCCCAACTCAGGCCCTGTTCTCTATACTTCATTGCTGTACTTCAGAGATCTAAGTGAGCCATGGGGCATCACCCCGCTGCGGCCACTGAGGCCTTTCTTTCCTTTGTTCCTGACCAGTGACCTCCGCTTTATGTCAGAGCTTCCCACTCCAACAATGACAGAAGGTCAAAATGGATTTCTTCACTCCCTGTCCTACTGAGGTGTATTTATTTCTTTGTTGGATTTGGTTTATTATTATTTTTAACATCAAGTCCTTCTTTCTGCTCCAGATTAGGGAATCTGAAACCATGAATAACAACAAAAAAAGTAATCAGGTTAGGGCTCTGACACGTGTCCACTTTTCCATGAGTTTGATCCTAAGTGCTTTCTTGGAGTGAGTTCATAGCAATCATGGACCTCACTTTCTTTATTTTTTTCTTATTTTTTCCTCTCCTATTTAATTAAAATTGAGTTTTATAATTCACGAGGGAGTAATAAAGCATTATATTTTTCCCGGTTTGTAACATCTCTAGGCCTTGTTAGTAGAGATTGGCTCTGCAAATCCTGTAACTCATATTTGGGCCCTGTCCACAACCCATCAGCCTGTTTTCCAAGTCTGCAGACTAATGGAGCAGCTTAAAGTTGGCCATTGAAGTCATCCTGTCTCTTGAAACCAATTCCCCGCCCCCTTTTTTTTTTTTGAGTGAAGGATCGATAAAGATATAGCTTAAAAATGAATAAACACAAGATTACAAGCCCTTGATGCCATTATGTTGCAAATGGTGGATTGCCAGCATCTGAAAGGGTTGAAACAAGACGAAATGTTTAAGAGGATGGCAGGTCCTACTACAACTCAGCACCAAGCTTTTCCTCACTGTTCCCCTTATTAAATACAGCACTGCAAGTTTGGATTTTGTGTTCCCAAAGAAATGGATGTGCCCCCGACGGATGGATCCTGGGGAGGTTGGAGTCACTTTGGTTCCTGCTCAAGAACATGTGGAGGCGGCATCAAAACAGCCATCAGAGAGTGCAACAGACCCGAGTAAGTCCTCCCTGGCGTCTGTCCTTCCTGTGCGGCAGGAGGCCAGGCAGACTTCGAGAGCTGCCCCAACCCTCCCTCCCCACACACCTCCATGCTCTAGTACTATTTCCCTGGCCAGGTCCTTCACTATTAAACGTGTCGGCCACACGGTCATACTTCTGTGTGTGGAGCAGCTGAGACGTGTCCTTGAAGGGAACAGAACAGAATATTTAACAAGTAAAAGTAAGCAGCGGTTTGTATAGCAAGTTCTCAGACTTGCCACTGGCCCTTCATAGGCTGAGGAGTCCGAGAAGAATAGAATAGAAATAAAATGGTTTCTATTCTGCATAGAATAGAAACGCTTCTTTCATTGCTGGGGTTATGTTCGTGTTTGTGATTTTGGAAGCAGACTCTTACTGGTAATCAGTTTGATCCCAAACTCCAGGGCTCAAGAGATCATCCGGCTCTGTCTCCGAATTAGCTGGGACGAGAGGCATTTGCCACCATACTAGGCACCTAGCAACTATTTTGTAAAGCACTCTACCACTGAGCCACCTTCCCAGCCCCCAGCAACTGTTTTATAAGACCCCAGCTGCTTTGGGATTATGAAACATGAGTTCATATAACAGGTTTTATTTTTTAACCGTATAGACACTATTGTTATTTTTTTTTTTTAAAAAGCAAGCCACTGAAGTAAAGGATGAGATGGGTTAGCATCATGTACCAATGCACAGTATATAGTGCGGGGAGTAGAGCACTGCAGTAGAGCAATGCAGGGGCTGCTTAGATCCGCTGATTGTTCAGAGGAGGGGAAAGAGTCTGATGTTGACATCTGTTCTCTACAAGAAAAATCAGAAATATGTAGCTAAAAAGAACACAACTATAGGTAACTTGTTTACAGACCCTGGCCTATATAAATGCTCTGTAGTACAACTCACAAATAATGATCAATTTAATTTGGTTTTATTCACAATCTAATATATATATATATATATTGATGTATATATATATATATATATATATAGACACATATATATATCCACTTCATCTTTATCTCTATAATGACAACTAAAGAACCATAAGATACAGACTAGTCTATAAAACCAACATAGTAACTGTAGATAAAAATGCAGATTTTCTAGATAGCCTACATTTTGTATTAGCTCTTTTTTGTAGTAGATGCACACATAAAAGTTTACAATATTTTAAAAATTGAGATCATTATTCCTACTCCCTCAAAATAATTAGATGTGTGTCATTTCAGAACGGTGTTAAAAATATGTATATATATACATATGTATATATATGATTGTGGACATAATATATAGTGCATAAAAAGAAGTATCACATGATTTACAATGAGTCCATGTTACTTTTAAAAGTCAACAGTATCCTTGATGTACATACTGTTGAGCTATTTAAAATTCAACAATATACAACCGATAGGATTTTTTTTTACAAGTGGAAATAGAGCTGAACTAACTGGTATCTGCATTCATCAAAAGTGTTATTTGGAATATTTTTTTTAACTTTAAGAATATACCATTCAAAAGATGCCTTGAGCCATTCTTTTTTCATCTGGGTTTTTGATTGTCCCCTCCCCCACTCTTAGAGCAACTCTAGAAGTAAAGTGGAAAGAGATAAATCACTCCATAATTGGGATGGCTAGACAAAGAAAATCACCCAGTGTGAAGCTCTCAGCAAAAAGGGTTTTCAGCTTCAAAGTGAAACAAAGGTCCTCGCATTCAGAAGTTAAGAACTGATCATTAAAGACCTCAATTAGAGGTCCTTGTCCTTGTTGTTTGCTATGGGAGATTTAAAACACACACACACACACACACACATGCATGCACACACACACACACACACACACACACACACAAACCAGTCTACCTAGTTGAGTGTCAGCACTGACATCATTCTATTAAAGCTCCTCCAGGTCATTTGCACTTCAGGATGCCCCTGTTAATTGAGGAAGGAGACAGACTGTCTCTCAATACTGAGGTTACAATAGACGTGAGCAGTGTCAGTTTGAAAAGTGAAAGGGGGACGTAGAAAAGGGAAAATCAGGTCCAAAAATCTCGGGGCGAACGCTTGCACAGAGAGATTCTCGGAGCAGATGGTTCATTATTTTGGATGAGGCAGTGCGTTCTGTCATGGCTCTCAAGGAACGTGCGGGCACAGTCCCCCCCCCCTTCTCCCTGGGAAGATACCCTTCCTTACCTCCTTGCCAGGGCAAGCCTTCAAATAGAATATTGAGCTCCAATTCTAGGACCCAAGTAGTAGGTCTATGTGAGAGCACTGGATTTTTGTGTTGTTTGTTTTGTTTTTCATAATAAGATATAATCTGAAAATGTATTTAGGTAGCATTCAGACTCTTTTTTTTTTCTTACCAGTCCTAGGGCTTGAACTCTAGGCTTGGGTGATGTCCCTGGGCTCCTTTTTGCTCAAAGTTAGCACTCTATCACTTGAGCCACAGCACCACTTCCGGTTTTCTGGTGGTTTATTGGAGCTAAGAGTCACAGACTTTCCTGCTCAGGCTTGCTTCAAACTGTGATCCTCAGATCTCAGCCTCCTGAGTAGCTAGGTTTACCGGCATGAGCCACTGGTGCCCGCCCATTCAGACATTTTTATGCTACATTTTTAGGGTTTTCTCCTTCCAGTCAAAAACCAAAAAAATGTGAGTAACCTTGTTATATGCTTTGGGTTCTGCTGTCATCAGCGACCAAGCTGTAGAAACAGCATTCTTTCTAATTTTGTACCCCTACCCCATTTTTGGTCTGAACTGGGACATTGTAGTTGAAATGTGGTACTATCTAGGTGGAGGCCCTCATAGTTCAACTCTAAATTACTGTTTTTATGTTTCAATCTCAGGATTCTTTTTTTTTTTTTTAACAGTAATAGGGATTGGACTCAGGACCTCACATTTGCTAAGCAGGTGCTCTGACATGTGAGCCATACTTCCAGCTCCTTTTTTATCTTTTGAGCCTGGACGATGAGTCTCCTATTTGTGTTTCCTCATGTCACTGGGATGACAAGCCTGTGCTACTGTGCCCAGCCATTGTGCTTCTCCTGTAGTTAGGTTAATAAGCACAAGCCACACAGGCCAGCCATGGTTTGAGATAGGGTTTTATGAATTTTTATGCCTGGTCTGGACTTGAACCAGGATTCCCCATCTCTTCCTCCCAAGCAGTTAGATTTGAGCCCTTGCATACAGCCCTTAATCTTAGTGGCAATCCATGTTCTTCAGATAAGATGATCAGTCACCCTGGCTTGTAAGGAGAATCTCTAGTTTATCTGTTCCCTTAGAGATGTTATTAATAGCTGACATTTTTGGTCTGAAAATTTCATTGATTGGCAAGGTAAATCACATGGTCTCTGAAGCAATAAGAAGTATGAGTAAAAGTTAAGTCAGGGAACACCAGAAATTTAAGTTGGAAAACCAAACGAAGCATCGGAGCTAGAAGATGCATTATTGAGCAATTCGGCCTTAGTCTTGTTAGTTTGTGGTCAAAATTTGGCTTTGAGCTTCCTAGTAGCTTAAGCAAAAACACTTTCTGAAATTGTCAAACTAGAAAAAACAACAACGCAACAATACCTTAGGAAAGACAGAAGATTTCCTTCTTGTGATGCTCTTAATTTGCTTTGAAATTAGGAGAGAGGTAAAACTTTCAAATAACATATTCTTATGTAGTCTACTCACAGCAACCATTTATGAAATTGTACTTAACAAGAATATTTAAGACACATCCCACCAAAAAGCAAATTTTACTTTGGGCAGCAAAAGTGCAGCAGTTTTTCTTTGAAAAATGACTTTGAATTTAGATGAACTTTTTTTGTGTGTTTCAAAATAGTTATTTGTTTTCAAAATTGGTTATTGTGGAAGAACGTTCATGAACACAGAAGTAAGGTATCCAGGGGCTGGGAAGGTGGCTCAGTGGTAGAGCTCTTGCCTTGCATGCATGAGGCCCTGGGTTCGATTCCTCAGCACCACATACGCAAAAAGAAAAAAGCCGGAAGTGGCGCTGTGGCTCAAGTGGTAGGCTAGCCTTGAGCTGAAGAGCTAAGGGACAGCGCCCAGGCCCAGAGTTCAGGCCCCATGACCGGACCCAAAAAAAAAAAAAAGAAGTAAGGTATCCAATCCCCACACTTTGCCTCATTTGGAAGGCTCACTGAAGATAGGCTGGTAAAACTCTGTCCTCCTCACCTAATCCTGGAACACCTTGCTAGCATTCTCTGCAGAGGCCATCCTTTTATAAAGCTTCTGGCATAGGAACCACTCTGTCTTCTGGGGTCACCTCTTGTATCACTAGAAATTGCCTGTACCAGCCTAAAATCCACCTACTTTAACCATTATAAATGTACATGAAGACGAAGCACAGATGGTTCATGCTACTTAGCTTCTTAGGAGGCTGAGATAGGGAGGAGCACTGTTAAAACCAGCATGAGCAGAAAAGTCCAAGAGACTTCATCTCCAATTAACCAGTCAAAAGGCCAGGCTGGCACCGTGTCTTAAGACACATGGCTGTTCCTCTACCAGCAAGAGAAGTGAGTGAGCTGAGGCTCCGAGTTTAAGTCCTTGTATTGGCACCGATACGTTCAAACCCATTTGCAGGTCAAAGTTTAATTTTCTCTAAGGGCAGAAGACATCTGTAGTGATCTTTACAAAGCATTCCTGTAGTTTGGTCCTAGTCTTCATCTGTGAGCTAACTGGCCTGCTTGTATGATATGTGCTTGAAAGGAAAATTCAACTTGTTGGAATACAATAGTAACTAACCTAACCTTATATCCTTCTCATCCTGATTTGGCCTGCATCATCTTTAAAAGATTTTTATTAGTTGGAAATTGTGGTTAATGTTACTCTTTAAAGCTGAATTTCCTATAATTTTTGTTATTTGCCTACATGGAAAGAAACAGTCCTATCCAGCTAAATTATTAAATGGTGAGATTAATATTTTTCCATTCCAAAAGGCAAGTCCAATTGGCTAAAGCTTTTCCTATTACACAGAGTATGAAGTTAAGCAAACCACACTTTCTAGGACAGAAAAAAGGCCATCCAGTGCAAAAGGGCACATTTGCATTCATTAAAGCCATATGCATAATTAAGGAAGAAATTATAACCTTCTTTTCCATAAAGCACAGCAAGAGAAGTCAGGGGCTGAGTTTGATATGGAAAGAAATCTGTGTGAAGAGTAATAGCCCCAATAGCTCTAAGAAGTAGACACTAGCATCATCCTTCCTTTCAGACAAGGAAACTGAGGCCAGTGAGATGAAGCCCCTTTCCTAAGGCTGCACCATTATGAAGTGGTTGGTAGGGTTGTTTCTAACATCCATGTGTATAATCTTGTAGTCATGCCTCTTATACATGCACTTTTGTTTTTGTGCTGGTACTGGTGCTTAATCTCAGGGCCATCTACTCTTCCTTAGCTCCAGGCTGGCATTCTACCTCTTGAGCCATGCTTTCACTACCAGCTTTTGGTGGATTAATTAGAGATAAGAATCTCTCAGATCTGTCTACCTGGGCTGACTTCAAACCATAATCCTCAAATTTCATCCTCTAGAGTAGCTAGGATTATAGGCAAGAGCCAGTCACCGGCACCTGGCTCCTATGTACAATTTTTAAGGTGTCATTTAGTTATGAACATTTACAGAAATAAATAAATCACAGAATGCTGTTTTCCATAATCAGAACAAGCAAGGTAGAAAGTGTTTCCTTCCGGGGAAGCCACTTAGTAAAAATAGTTATCTGTAGTCTAAATATCTGCAGCATTTGATCAATTTCAAAAATTTCCCCAGATTCAGTGCATAAAAAAGTAAAAATTATTATTATTATTATTAGTCGTGGGGCTTGAACTCTGGGTCTGGGCGCAGTCTCTCAGCTCTTCAGCTCAAGGCGAGCACTGTACCACTTGAGCCACAGTACCACTTCTGGTTTTCAGGTGGTTTATTGGAGATGAGAGTTTCATGGACTTTCATGCCCAGGCTGACTTTAAACTGCAGATCTCTACCTCCTGAGTAGCTAGAATTACAGGTGTGAGCCACCAGTGCCCAGCTTAAAAATTATTTTTAAAGAGAATGCAATATAAGATACTTCTGGGCAATAAATAAATGACCCATCCAAGGTACACAGTTGGATATTTTAAAAGAGTCCATAATGATAATTTCTGCCTCAGGAAAAACAGAAGGGGGTGCTTCTCATAGGAATTTTGAAACAAATTTTACCCAAACAGGTGTATGGTTCTGATTAGTTATTCATATTTGTTTTATGGTATTTTATGTATAAGAGACTTGGGTGTCTTGATACTGAAGAAAGGATTTGGTATCCAATCAACCAAGACTCCCAAGAAGAACTAGACCAGACCACACCAGAGTCCCTTAGGATAATGTTAAAAAAAAAAAAAAAAAAGAGCACCAAGCCTGGGCAACTTGAGTTCCAGTCCTGACTCTGCTCTTTTACTAGCTGCGTGATGTTGGGGAAAGTCCTTACCTCTCTGATCTTCCTGTTGCTTGATTAAAAAAAAAAGTACCCCATCAGCCCTATTCTTGGGCAAGAAATAAAAAAGAATTCTGGCAAGTCAAATGCACAAGGCAGATACAAACCACATGGCTATAATTGTACTTAATGGAGAAGCAACTAGACACAGACACTGCTGTTGTTACCTGCCATTGGACATTTCTAGATGTAGCCTTCATTGTGAAAAATGATGGCAGATGTTATCATACTTTTTAAGCTAGTACATGGCAAGCTTTGCAGTGACTCAGCACTCAGAGAGCCAGGAAGCTTACCCAGAGTCACCGTCTTCTTCCTGCAACATCCATGTTCTTCACTTCCCTTGGCACATCTTGGATTAAGGAGCCCATTTATAGCAGTGTCAGGACAAGCTTCCTTGGGCGGTTCTTCTTGAAACCTGAATTCCCTGCAGGAGCATTTATGAATCCCTTGCCAAATTAAGAGTTGGTGCTCAAACTAACTGGTGGGCAAAATCAGATTCCACTGTGAATCAATGGTGAATTGGGATAGCTGCAGACTGCTGGTGGGTAAATTGTATAATTTGCTCTCTGGGTCACATCTGGAACCTACACGTTGCATGCCGGGAATAAATTCTCACTGTCATGCCTCAGACGGTACATTCCATAAGGTGTCATACGAAGTAAGGGAACCAGTGTGCTCTCTCCTCTTCTTAGTGAGTGACTCAAACTATGGAGATGTGCCCTTTATCCTATGTTATTTGTAGAACACAACACAACAAAACAATGGCTGTCAGGAGAAAGGATGGGGAGGGCTGATGAGTGGGGGGTGGAAGGGCGTATGTCCCCCCCCCCGCCTCCCCAGAGGGTAAATCAAGGTGCATATGGTAGCTGGGGAGCCGGCCAACTACCCAGCAGATATTTATCAGATTCTGTGACAATCTCCTCCCACCCATGTCCAAGAATAGAGCTCAAAGGGCCTGGTAGCTTACGTAGAATCACTGGGGAAAGGGGACCTGTTCTGTTTTTGTTTGTTGGGCATGTGGCTCAGGCCTATAAGCCTAGCTGCTCAGGACACTGTGATCTAAGGATCATGGTGTGAATCTAGCCTAGGCAAAAAGTCTGTGAGGCTCAGATCCCCAATCAACCACCAAAAAAAACTGGAAGTAGAAGTAGAATTATGGCTCAAGAGGTAGAGTGCTAGCCTTGAGTGAAAAAGCTAAAGGACTGGGCCCAGGCCCTGAGTTCCAGTTTTAGTATTACTACTACTACTAATAATAATAATAATACAATCTAGACCAAAAAAATGGAAGGATTGGAAATGTCTAAGAGAAAAAAGACAAGAAGTATAGTCTCAGAGATTCAGGCTTTGTGTTTCCTACATGAAGTGACATACCCTGGCATGTGGTCCTCCAGACAGCCTTACAAGGTTTTAGCATTCATATCACAGATAGAGGTGTTACTGCTTGCAAAGGTTAAGTGTCTTGCCCCATGTTTATTCTTTGTATTGTTGAAAATAGAATGCCCTTGGAAACAGAGCCCTGGCCCTCCCTTCTTTCCCTGGCCACCTTAAATTTGCTTCCCTAGAAAATAGGAAGTCTTGAGGGAGTTAGTGACCCTTATAATACAGTGTGTGTGTGCGTGTGTGTTTTACATTGTCTCAGGCCAAAAAATGGTGGCAAGTACTGTGTGGGGCGGAGAATGAAGTTTAAGTCCTGCAATACGGAGCCCTGTCCGAAGCAGAAGAGGGATTTCCGAGATGAGCAGTGTGCTCACTTCGACGGCAAGCATTTTAACATCAATGGTCTGCTCCCGAACGTGCGCTGGGTCCCTAAGTACAGCGGAAGTAAGTGGTTCTGGGCCAGTGCCCGCAGTTGGCAGACCTGCTCTGGCTCCAGACAAAGAAGTCACACGGGTGTCATGTTTCTCCTCTCTAGTTTTGATGAAGGATCGGTGCAAGTTGTTCTGCAGAGTGGCAGGGAACACAGCCTACTATCAGCTCCGAGACAGAGTGGTTGATGGGACTCCCTGTGGGCAGGACACAAATGATATCTGTGTGCAAGGCCTTTGCCGGGTAAGTCCCACATGGTGTTTTACTTCCTGCTGTCAAGCTGAGGTTTGTGATTTCCTTGACAGAATAACAGCTGCTGTTCTCTGTGTGCCATCTCCTAGGCAAAAGTGTATTCTCTGAACCATTAGTGTTAGACCATTGATTCTGATGCATCCTTATGCCAAAACCTGAAAACCACTGCCCAGGGTTTTCCCTGGACCTCTGTGGAGTGCTACACAAAACTTCCCCTTGACAATTCACACCAGTTCAATTTATACTATAACCTGAGCATGGGCGGTTAATCCCAACTGCTTCCTGACAGCACATTTTTCTAGAATGAAGAGCTATGTTCCAGAAAGATGTCAGGAGAAAGAGATGACACCACTCATCATTCCTCTTAGTGCTTGGGTGTTGTTCTTGGAAGGTTAAACAGAGAAAGAGCTGGTTCAGCTTGGTATCAGAGCGGTGATTTCTTGAGGGTCTGAAACCAACTGTCAGAAATCCTTGCTAACCCAGCCGGATGCTGAGTTAATGTATATGTACCTTGCTTGTGGTCCAAAGGCCAATTGGAATTCCTCATCTGTCAAGTTTGAGTGTAAGAGCATCCTCCCCAGCGGGCTCTGTGATGTAGATTCCCTTCTGGGCCCACTCCATGGAAACACCTTGAGTTTCTTTTGAAAGATGAGTCATAGTGGAACAAAAGACACTGGAAATGGGGTTTTCCCCAGCTTCTCTGAGAGCTGTCTTCTACATTAAACTCCTGTGTAGGGAAAGCTCCAGACTGTGTTTTGCCTTTTATGCAGAACTAATATGTTAACGCAGTGGATTTCACATCAAATCAAATTTTCTACCCTCACTTGGAAAACTGGAAAATGTCAGCGCTGAGCTCCTGGCTGTAAATGTCATTCTTAGCCTGAAGTGTTCAGTGGTTTTTCCCTTAAGATGGGCATGAAGTCATCATTAGCTATAGCTCTTCCCACCACCTCCTGCCTCCTCATTTTTTTTTCTCATTGACTCTGCTTATTTCTGGACCAGCATATCTCAAACTTTAATCTGTACTTGTTGCAAATGCCAACCTGGATTCAACAGAGCTGGGTGGGTCTGGGGAGTCTCCATATGTAACAATGTCATGACTGTGACAGATTCAAGGACTGCATTATAAATGGCAGGCTGTAGACAGTATGAGTTTTCAACCTTTGTCATCTTGAAAGGGGTACCGTGTCCTTGTCATTTCAGATACACATCATGAAAAGAAACGCATTATTTGCCATTTTTTCATCTATTTGATGCTTACCATGTATTTCAAATGTTTTCTTTTTTAAAAGCAAGCTGGATGTGATCATGTTTTAAACTCAAAAGCCCGGAGAGATAAGTGCGGGGTTTGTGGTGGCGATAATTCTTCGTGCAAAACAGTGGCAGGAATATTTAATTCAGTGCATTATGGTAAGAATCTGCTCCTAAGAACCATGAGAAGAGAAAAGTTTCAAAATGGTTCACTCCATGTAATACATACAAGTATTAATGTCAAGCGTAAAATCAGTCCTGTTGCGGGATATTATCCATAAGACCCCTAATAGAATCATATGGCCTTTTGCCCCTTTTTATTCTGTTCTTGGAGAAAGTGACCCATAAAATGGAATACTCAATTTCTGCTGAATTCTTTCCAGGTTACAACACTGTGGTTCGAATCCCTGCTGGTGCTACGAGTATCGATGTGCGACAGCACAGTTTCTCAGGGAAATCTGAGGATGACAACTATTTAGGTGAAGTATCATGCCCAGCCATTTGCAGGAATTCTGATTTCTTCCTGGAGTCATGAATGCCCGCTCCTTCCTTCCTTCCTTCCTTCCTTCCTTCCTTCCTTCCTTCCTTCCTTCCTTCCTTCCTTCCTTCCTTCCTGCCTGCCTGCCTC